CCTCTCCACACACCTTTTCCAAGGCCACCTGCTTGTACAAGCAGTCCCTCACCTCCCTCTCTATAAAGCACTGTGAAGAGAAACGTCTCTCTCTGTGTGTGTGTGTGTGTGTGTGTGTGTGTGTGTGTGTGTGTGTGTGTGTGTGTGTGTGTGTGTATGCATGTTTGTGTGTGTGTGTGTTTGGGTGTGCTGTACACTTGCATTGAGCAGTTGCTGATCGTTGTGTGCCCCACAGCTGGAGCTGTGCGGGCAACCTTGTCTCTGTTCGGATGGGGCTGTGGGGGCAGGAGCGACAACGAGCCCATGAAGACAGGTCGGTGGCGAGATTGCTGTGGGCCATCAGGGCTTTGCGGGCTTGGAATAGGATCGGTTAGATGCGCAATGGGATGCTGCTTAAACAAGGATGACAATTCTGCCCAGCATGAGCGTACGCAGAATTCTGAGATAGACAAGCAGATTAAGAGAGCGGAGAGGGATGACAAGCAGATCACAAAGATTCTATTGCTTGGCGCGGGTGAGTCTGGCAAAAGCACGATCTTCAAGCAAATCAAGGTTCTATTTCAGCGCGGCTTCTCGGATGAGGAGCGATCAGACTTCAAAAAAATTGTCCATGTTAACGTTTACCAGTCGATCAAGGTGCTCCTTGATGGCCGGCAGGATTTCTTCGAGTCGGACAGCAACCCTGTTTATTCCTTGCTTCCTGGAAATGAGAGGCTGGCTCAGAAGATCAGCGACATTGCCAACCTGTCGTCCCCGGAACTGCCTGACCTGAATGGGGACGCTGCGGCAGAGATTGACAGGCTGTGGAAGGACCCGGGCATCCAGGCCACGTTTCGACGAGCAAACGAGCTGCAGCTACCGGACTGCGCGCAGTACTTCTTTGACAACATTGATCGTATTGGAGCTCCCGACTATATACCCACCCAAGAAGACGTCTTATTTGCACGCATACGTACAACGGGGGTCGCGGAGACGGAGTTTGTGTCGCCGGAGAACCCGAAACTGGTGTACAGGGTATACGACGTAGGTGGGCAGCGCAATGAGCGCAGGAAATGGCTCCACCTGTTCGACGGGGTATCGGCGATCATCTTCTGTGTCGCCCTGAGCGAGTACGACCAGCTCTTGTTTGAAGACGAGTCCGTCAATCGCATGATGGAGACGAAACAGCTGTTCGAGTCCGTCCTTCAAGAGCAATGGTTCAAGAAGACTGCAGTGATGGTCTTCCTCAACAAGTTTGATATCTTCAGGAAGAAAGTGACGAAAGTGTCTCTGAGCAAGTGCGAATGGTTCTCCGATTACAGGCCCGTTGGCGGGGCGCAAGAAGTGGAGCACGCGTACCGCTACGTGGCGAGGAAATTCGAGGACTTGTTCCGGCAGCATACTTCTCAGGAGAACTATGGTCGTGTGTTCGAGGTCCACAAGTCAACTGCAACGGATACGGAAGTGGTGAGGAGGATTTTCGATGCGATGGACAGGGCCTTCCTTCTTCAGCGGTTGATGGAGATGGACGGAAACTGATCTTTTCTAGCAAACCCCAAACCACACAAGGCTTAAGGCCCGGGAAACGGTCCGTCGGCGCGTTTCACGGCCAGGCTCCTCGTTTGCGTCGCTGCGGAAAAGGACCGGAACTGGCACTCGTCTATCAGGGGTTCAAACCCAGGTTCAAGGTACCGGGTCATAAAATTGCCACTCTTTTATCAGGGTTTCAAACCCAGGCCAGGTTCAAGGTACTGGGTCATGCAAATTTATGTCAGAAAACCCAATGGCGGTTGTAACGGGCGAGCTAAGGTGCAAACAAAAGAGATGGAAAGAGCCTTCCTGACCTGGGGTTCGAACCCGGGTCACTGCTTCCTTGTGCCGCCGCTGGATCCATACGCATCTGTCAGGAATGGCTGGGCGAACACGCAGACAAGGCAAGTTTGGCTATGACTTATTCTTGTCCGTTGCGAGACGCAGAGAGTTTAGATTGGCAAGTGGGTGAATGGAGGTAAGTCCATCTCCCATGCTCTGTCCCCCCTTCCGCTGCATGCTCTGTATGTCTGCCCGTCTTTTTCTCGGCGATTCTTCCCCGGGACCGTGTACGTTCGTGAACTGATAGGTCATTTCCGTGGTTTGGCTGTAGTTCGTTAGTGCCGTGTAGATGTGCGGACTGGCGGACCATGTCTGTGATCTGCCTTTCAGCAATTCCCCTGGAGCATCTCCGTTCGTGGGACCGACTGATTATGCGCGCGGTCTGACTTCGAGCGATTCTCCTGGGGCCTCGGCGTTCGTGGACTTGTCGATCGTGTCTGCGGTCCATTTGATCGCACTTATGGGTTCGGGGTGTGGTGAAATCAGATGCAAGGAACTCAAGATTTGCACTTATGTTTGGGAAAACAGAATGAAAAATACTGCACTTATGTTCGGAAACAGAAACTGAAGGTGCTGCAGTTATGTCCTTAAGGACATCCGTTAAAATTGGAACAATACAGAGAGAGAAGAAGATTAGCATGGCACCTGCGCAAGGATGACACGAAGGGTAAAAAACAAAAAAAAGCGTACTCGCAGGGTACTGCTCTTATGTTTGCGAACAGAAAATGAAGGTACCGACTGCAGCAGTTATGTTTTTTTTGAATCAGAAATGAAGGTACTGACTGCAGTTATGTTTGGAATCAGCTACGAAGGAAGGATCAATAATTTAGGGAGCGGCTGTTCTAGTTGATGAGAAGTTGGGATTTCATCTCGGAACGAGAGTGCAGTGGGGACCACAGTACAGTCTGAGCTTGGTCTTGGTATTGTCAGACAAGGAATTGCAGGAATGCTTTAGAAGTGTACCGTATGGGGGAAGTAGATAGAGGGAGGTTGTGATAATGTAGGGATAGAATCCTATAGATAGATGGTGTTTAGTGCAGGTATTGTGAGGATGTGATTTGGGGT